AAACCTTTGCAACCTATATAAGTCACAAGTAAAACGGTGGCGATTTATTTTACGTCATAATCATTAACATATTGGAAGTATAAACTAACTATAGGAATCTATCAACTATGCACTATCAAATAAATCAATTTAAAAAATTGTGCAAAGGCTATAGGTACTTTTATGTTTAAAGCAATATATCCGTTAATTAATGAAAATGGAGGCAATATGTAATATAAATACGAGGGCTTTATAGTCTTATAGCCTTCAAACCTCTGTTCATACATCCAAAAGCTATATAGTGTTTGACCACGGTTAGAAAGACGAAAATATACTTCGTATAACAAAGATATCTATCAAAATGTAGTGATCTCTCGAAGTAAGATTTGTAGTAAATTTCTTAGCAAACTCTTCGAGGCTCGACCCGATAGCTTCGTTTTGATGCTACACTCATCACAATACCGCTGGTTTGTTTGGGTGGCGTTCTCAACTACGATAACAGCTATTAGCCAAGTGATTAAGCACGGCGGGAGAGGGGAGGGCGTTCAAACGAGCACACATCTATTGGCCGATCCGTGATGCGGAGAGTAGGACTGGGCATTACTCTGACTGTCAACAATGGCGAACCGTTTGTGGAGGAAGTTCGGCTGACAAGAAGATCTTTTAAAGGTAAATTTACGCTTGTTTATCTTTGTTTTTAGCCAATAAAACAATTGTATTGTTGTTAGAGAATAACCAAAACATGATAAGAGTTTTCATTACGAAGAATTTCGCACTTCATTCGGCGAATACAAAAGCTCACTAACCCACCCGCACTAAGTCGATTTTAGCTACCTCAACACAAATACCCTGGAATCCACATTCGCTCTTCGACTATTTTACGAAACACATTTGCACCAAGAAAAATAATTTTAAACAATTCAGCTGCGAACACGCCACGCTAACTCGCCAAGAAAGCAATGCACAGTGCTAACAAGGAACCCATGATAATGCTCGCCGTATTAATGTTCTCTTCCCCATTCGATGGGCCTGCGGCGGAAGGTTGTTGGCGGTAACTGCTGGTTGTTGAAGGAAATTGCTAATTTGTTGGCAGGTCCTTGGGCTGCGTCGAGACTGCGTGAACTTGCTAGCCGCTTCTTGAACCTGGCAGGCGGTGCAGGAACAGGCACTTGAGACATGGCGCGGCGATGAAAGTACGGGTAGAATAGACTAAGACAAAGTGGCACCAGCTCGAAACCTGAACTTGGTTTGGATGGGGCCTTGCGGTGGTACGACAAGACATTTATACTACCCCATACACTAAAAATATTATAATGATCTACGAGATGACCGTTCACAGTATAAGAAATGCATATACACTGTCGAATCTCTTTGATGCCCTTTCTCGCACATCTTTAAAATAGACGTAGATCGCTCATGAATCTTCTACGACGGCTCAAAACACTACCGACATGGCGGCAAAACAGTTTACAGCTCAAATTTCGCTAATGCGCAGACAAAAACTCTATATGATCTGCAAGGGGTCTTTACCTGCTGTAATATAGACACCAGAGGCAAGACACCATATGACTTCTCTGCTGCAATGCTATTTTTATTTGTATCGCGTGATAGGTAATTATACAACTTTGTTACATGCATGGAATTGTCGCCAAGGTTACACGGAAATACAAAAGAAATACCACACAATTTCCATTGAGCAAAAGTGAGATTTCTTTGGTATTTTCATGTAATCTCTTATCACAGATGATTTTGAAAAAGGTTCATTACAAACAAAGGGGATCGACGTTTCGGTTCATCATCTCGGACATCATGGCGTTAACTTTTCGATGTTTTCAATCAATGCCTCTTAGTTGAATCCTTTTGGATGTTACATACAGTGTCATTCGGATCCTTAGGGTACTTATTTGACCAGTAAATGTAATACATCCAAACGTTCATTTTAGTGAACTTTGTGAGCTGGAAGAAAAAAAGAAAGAGGTTACAGTGAATTGAAGACTACAAAAGCCACATCTGATCTGAAGTACTTTAGATAGATATGACAATAGCGTTAGACATTTATCAATTATTTTTCACATAAAAGTAGTCTATAGCCCGGTTGTGCGAAAGTTTGATAGCGCTATTCGAAGGATAAATGTTGTCTAGTGGATAGATTTATTGGATAACAGCATCGATTTTTCCATCGGATAGCGCTATCCAATGATGGTACAACCGGGCCAGCAGTGTTTAAACGTAATTATTTTACTTACATCAATATCTTTGCAATTGTTGTCTTTCATCTGTGTATCCGAGCAGGATAATGTTTTGTTAACAGGGACCTTGAGCTCGTAAAAGCCAGACGGGCTTGTACATTCGTCCTTTCCCATCATCAAACCATTGACCGCGCCACCGTTTAATGAGTGACTGCACATTGGTTCCAGGCGAGGATCGTCCTCTTCCACGCAGAAATGCTTCACTGAAGAGAGATTTTTTAAATTTGAAATGTCCATGAAAAGTATATAAAAAGTATATGACAATAATATGGATATATATACGCTACTTGCTATTTAGACCAAGATGTGCAGAATACCACACTTGCGATGCAATCATTGATACATAATAAAAATTGTTATATAGCTACGACATTTTCCGAAATAACGAACAATCTCATTGGCTGAAAGATAACCCTGTGACAATAGCTAATTCTAAATCTCGATCGGGAAATATAAGTTCGAGAATTAAGTTGGACGTGACAAGAATGGTGAAAATAAACAAGTGCACTCTGACGTTATCAGAACGTGAAAAACGCTGGTGGCGTTATGTTATGCGGAAATTACAAAAAAACAAAGCGGGAGAAGATGCTTTGTTGGAATTTTCAATACAAATGAAGCTCGAAGCAGAAATTTTCCTGTGTTTCTACAGAGAAATTACAGACTTTTATCGAGAAAAAGGATTGGAAAAATACGCAAAAAGTGGAAGAGAAGCTTAAAAAATAAGCTTACTAGATTTGGAATTTCGTTTTACCAGTTTTCATCTGCGTTTCATGTGTGAAAAATATGTGGAAATCAAGAACGACAAAAGTTTTCAGAAAATATAGCTACATTCGATTTCAGTTAAACTTGACAATGAGCAAGTCATAACATAACCCTAATCCTAAAACCGATTTTTTGAAGACTTATGAGCTATATAAAGGGCAAATATAATTATTTCATATATTTCATACGGCATTAATATAAATTATTAATAGGAATCAATTAAAACGTTTGAGAGAAAGTCTTTGATTTGCTTTGTTCAACGAAACTGCTTTTCATATAAAAAAAAATACACCACTGTTTGCTAAATATTACACACCTGAATTCTTAAAGAAACATATTATGATCCATCTTTGACTACATGAAAGTTTTTTTTATTCGTACGATTGAATTACCTTTTCTACGTACGCCGAAACGACAAATAAATATTCAGTGTAAAACCATTTTTTGACCACATGTTGGATTTAAATTTGTCACAAAGCAATGTTTTTCTGTGCATATGAAATCTGGGTCTGCGAGTAGCTTTTCTTTGGCATCAAGCGGGGTCCCTGAGTTATGTACACGGACGGACGTACGAACGGAAGTGACATAGTAATCAAGCCATGAAAAATCAAGTCGATGGGTTATATTTTCTTAAGTATGCTGCTCCACTTGCGCGGGAGCTTCGCTAGAACTTCAAATTTTCAAATAGCCACAATGTGGAAATGAAACTGTTAAATCCGTTATTAATTTTACATCCCGAGTATAAATACTTATGATTTAAAAGTACGTTTTACTTTACTTATTTGGGTATAGAGGTTTACTAACCATTTTTGTCAGGATCTTGTTTACGTTCCCGGCACTCATCCTCATCACTGATTCTAAAACGGTCAAACGTAAGGTCCCTGAAGCTTGTTATTGGCGTAAGGTATTGCTTTATTTTGCCATCACCAGCGCGGAAATAAGCTCTGCTTAGATGGCGGACATTGAGTCTCACCTTATCCCAAACACTTTCAGGTTGTGCCTCAGTGCCATAGAACTCAACATACATCTATCATAAACGAATGTAATAATGAAATGATTACCGGCTTTATCTTATATATAAATCAAATATTAAATCGACAACGAAAACTACTTTGGCATAGGGTAGTTTTTGTACGACTAAAAAAGCCATTGCACGTGGTGTTGTCACGGTACGGAATGCGTAACATCGGTCGAGCCAATCAAAGCAAATCAATAAATAGAGTGGTTTTTGTATGACTTACAGCAAGAGGTGCAGGCTACGGTGTGCAGTAACACTGAAATGGCTTAACACATATTTTTTGTGTGAATAATCAAATCACAACACGTAGTTATGAATACGGTAAAAGACGGTACATCTACAGTATAGCTATGAATTTGTCGTATTATATATAGATTTCTGTCTTCATAATGGTAGAAACAAAATGGTTGTTTTTTTGTTTTTTGTTTTCTTTTGATGTAAAGATTTGCCATTGCATTGACCTCAAGGATTTAAGTGACGTAATGTGCAAGGGGTATAGATTTTAGTCATGATTGGCTCAACTACTGGTTGTCTATTAGTATTTTACCCTCACTGCATACTCATTACCGTGTCACGGGAATTAAGATATGGAAGGTGACCGCGACTGCTGGCAATGAGTCTGCGAAAAGCATGCGATGCGTCGTCAACCGCCACCAGGGGAGGTGGGTGGGGTGAATCTTCTACTCTATCCTTAGGCAGCTTCCAACGGAATGATTCAAGGATCTGGGTATATATGGATGGGTCGCAAAGCATTACACCCGTACTGCGTAAACTCCAATGTCCATAAATGAGGGGGTTGCTAAATTCCTACGTGACACGCTAATTATGCATGCAATGAGAATAGTGATAGACCACTAGATAGTCCTGCTTTTGAATACCAAAACAAAACAAAGCAAAGCAAAAAAATATATTTCAACCTAATTTCCTAAATAATTTGTATTCATTTATTTGACATTTATAAAACAATTAGATCTCTCTCCCACATAGCCCTTTTCTGAAATAGCGAACATGGTGCATTGTGGTCTAGCTTAGGTACAAACACCTTTTGTTCACCATGCCTTATATGGTGTTTCAAACTCAGAAAAGGCCTATGGTCTAGTGGTCAATAGCCCATTCGGCCTTCGGTTTTGTTAAATAATTTCTTTTGTCAAAGGAAATGTTTATCATATAGCTTTCATACATACGTACTTTTATAAGCCGAGCATTGTAACATGTGCTACAAATTTGATCCTCTCCTATACTGAATGTCGTTGAACCCGTTTTAATTTCCTCAAAGATCTGGAAAATCAACAAAGTTACAGGATTTATGAATGAAATCATAAAGTTATTGTATTGTATTCTTCCTATAATTGTTTTGAATGCCAGGTTGATGTGGAAATACAAAAAAAAAAAAAAAAAAAAAAAAAAAAAAAAAAAAAAAAAAAAAAAAAAAAAAAAAAAAAGCCACAAACTCCATCGAGGAAAAGTGTGATTTCTCTGGTATTTCCATGTTAGCCCCTCATTCACGATATTTTTAAGAAGGATCCATTAAAACAAAAAGAAGGCAAGACCACTCTTTATTTTAGGATATAGAGCGTTTTCACTCACGTGAGAAGGCAGCTATATTGGTGTACCAAGCAATAGAAACTTTTTGCAACGACTAACGCTATTGCATAAAAATAGATTTCAATTCCCCGAGGATAGAAAAGGTATTGTTTTGGTACCCCATAATGGCCGCTGTGACGTCACGTGAAAACAATCTATAGACGTTAGCTTTGTATGCAAATTGCCCATTTCAGATCACATGACATTCCTTTCAGAATTGTTCTTTTATGACGAACATGTTAAAATATTTACACATGAAAGAATCAACTCCCAAGAGTGGCATTACATGGTCTAAAATGTGCACGACAAACAACGAAGCTAAAAATGTCTATTTGTCTGAGAAAGAGGCGTAGTATACACGGTCGGAGGTATGGAGATTTAAAAACTTTGTTTAACCCGCAGAAATTTATTCTCAAGTACTTGAACAAAAGACTATGGGTGGTTGAATTTATTGTTACAACCGACATCGATGCCGCACTCAATGATGGTTTCTATTTCGTCCCCTAATACAGCCCCAAATTGCAAAGTAAACTCGGATCATGCTCATTTGAAAATGACGTTTTTATTTCAAAGCTCTACTATTCCCTAGTTTAGAAAAAAAAAGCATTTTTGACATCGCTGACAAAGAAATATCTCAAGATTTTGTTTAGTCAGTAAAACAACTCCATCTGTCCACAAGACCATCTGTCCTTTGTTTTTTGCCTAGTTCCTGATCATATCACGTTTGGCACATGGAGGATGAAATTTACGCCACATAAGAAAGCTCGATTAAACCCACAAATCAGAAAATACACGTATTCCTTAAAACAGTGGGTGAATAAATTCAAGTATTCTTTAGTAATAAATAAAATAATGATAAGATGATGATGATGATGGTGATGGTGATGATAATGATGATGACGGTTATGATGGTGATGATAATGATGATGAGTGACGAAAATATTCATTATGATGATGATGGTGATGATAACGATGATGACGATGATGATGGTTATGATGATGACGTTGATGATGATAACGGCGATGATAATGTTGATAATGATGCATATGATGATATGATGATGATGATGATGACGATGATGATGGTTATGATGACGTTGATGATGATAACGG